AGGTAAAAGGTATACAAGTAGAACGAACTAGTACCTGGTTGTACAACAGCGAGTAGATAATTCAGTTTGTGGTCAGCCGCGAAACAAGTAGAACGCGCTCGCCTATGGACAGACGAAATTGTCTTTTCACGATGCAAGGTACAACTGCATAGATAGCTGTAAACAGTCTTACGTATATTTTATTGTTGATACAACATATCCTCCTATGTTTTCACTTGTCATAAATGCGTAAAAATTCGCAGCCTCCCGACAGCAATCCATTTTTGACGATTTCAAAGCTCGACCTCGCACCACCAGCCTTCTTATCCACGGACCACTGTCAATACGCAGGACATTCGACGACAATCTCATTAAAATATTGATCGACGCGTTATTATTTCACGCTCGTGGAAGCCTACTGTTTGAAACTGTCGCGCTGACAGCCGAGAGATAAACACGTTTGCCACCGAGACACGTAATCGCAGGCTATCGACCAGAAAAGCACCCCGAATTTCGGTTAAATTCAGCCGTACGCGCATTGCAGTTTCCAGATGCATTTCGAGATATCAAATTCGTCGAATCTGACAACGATAGGTCGCGATAAAAGTTGAGCTCAGCTGAGCCAGCTAACACGGTAACGGGGTTGAGTTAAATATACGGTGGAATATATAGTGAACAAAATTTAACGTTAAATTAAATTTTCTTGGGAAGAAAAATAGGATGTCAAACCTTCGTCTTCGATAAAGACGAATTATTTACTTGAATCCTCAGACTGCTGATTTTATGCATTTGTGAGGTAGAATAATACAGAGGATATACATAAAATACTCATAATGTATGTTGAACATATCGTGCGATTATTATAATATTATTGCTATTTCATTTTGCAAAAGCACATATAAGTTTTGGGTATGTTTAGCATCCATTTATTTGATCAGTTTGTATCATAAATGTATAAAATCCGAACCCTAGTAATAATAATACGTTCAGACTACAACGTTAAAACTACATAAAATCCTTAGTCTAGTCATTAGCATCGAGCCAAAGTTTCATTAAGACGATTATTTCGCTCCGTTTCCCGATAAATGGATTACACCCCCGTTTTTGTTGTCCCCTTCAGCCCTTTGTCATTGTTTTTCCCGCGAGGCTTGGCGTCCATTGTTCGCCGTTCATAATTGAAATGCTGATTATAACGCAACGAAGTGGCTAAAGTCGCGGAAGGAACTTCACGACGATGAGAAACTTGGACTCGTTGGGTACAGGAAAGAAGGAAAAGTTCCTCGCAACGTATCCCAGCGAATCGTTGTTCCATTGAAACGGGAATAACAATGTGAAAATGGTAATTCTTGGATGAAGTCGTGTTCGAGATACAAACAAAATTATGCATAGGACGGTGTAGAAAATTGTGCAAGTATTCGCATTATTTTTAGAAAATATAAAAATTAGACACAGTACGTCTCGACTGTTGTAAGAATCTATTGCTTTGACAAAGTTGGAATTAGGTATTCTATTAATTTCGAGAGCAATTTTCGCAGCTCAGAGCAATACATTATAAGAATTTATCGCTTTCACTTAAAGTAATAATTTGTTATACCTTTCTACGTCCCAACACGCGTGAAAGGATTGACATTAGGTATTCTATTAATTTCGAGGAGAATTTTCGCAGTAGAAACAATTTTCTTGATTCGCCTTGTATGAAATAATCGCGACACTTTAATGCTGCGAGTGCAGGTCGCTGTCAGTAATCGTCCACGAAAATTGTTTTCTACTAAATCATGCTGAAATGCATACATTAATACCCATAGTACATGTATCTCCTTCAGAGCAATGCTCCATTTATAATCCGTAATTCTCCGTAATGCGGAATAACTCCGATTTAAGCTCTATAGAAAGCCCTGATCGATATTCGTGTAGCATGTATATTCCGCGACTTCAAACAACAACGTACAATCTTAACCAACAAAGATGGCCGCCGTCGTTCAAAGCCACGTCGAGGAAATTATTACACGTTCGAACGAAAGGAAGAAAATTCGTGGAATTTGAATATGTTATTAATATTGGAAACGTCATCGGTACACTGTGGAAAAGGATATGCAAAAAATATAGACGAAGCATGTCGAATATAATCTATTAATTAATATAATAATTTAAAATTTCGTTAAACATGAGCGCACATACCTTCGGGCTGTGTATAGCCACGTTATTGGGAACAAAATTTAATTCATATTGGAAATGTCACCGCTATTCGCGCATATATAATTAAACATACCGAATCATATCTGCTAACTCAATGCAATAGTAACAGTCCAGTTACTCGACTAATGGTCTAGTTATTCATAAATTGATTTAAATTAACATAACGTCACGTTCGGATTAACGTAGATAATATATGTGCATTTGATTGACTTTTATATTGTAGTATGTGTTCTTCATCGCGCACTCATCAACGCCTCGTTTAGTTTAATCTGTTTGAAAACGGTGATGCGTCGTCCCGAATCAAAGACCATTCGGCTAATTTGTACTATATGAGAGCCGAAATCGCTTTAAATTTATCGCCGTATCGACATTTCAAAATTGCAACAAAAATCACACAGCTTCGACTAACAAAATACTTGAAATACATAACTTGAAATTAGAAAATTCAATTTTACGATTGTAACGAAGGTTATGGTTTCGAATAAGAAAATGTGGTACTTAAGATTAGAGGATTCGTGTCGAACGATCGACAACGTTTCAAGGGTAACCGTTCCCTCGCGGAGTTTTCACAAAATTAATGACGGAGGTTCCGCGAAAATCAAGGTGCTCTCATCGCGTGAATGATACACGTCTTTTCGAAGCGTATGACGGAGATGTACGAGCTGAAACCGCGTTAAGTTACGGAAAGTAGGTTAAGTCGACTGCATTCAAGTGCATTACAAGATCGTGCATTAATTATCTAGCCGCGTCTCCAGATGTAAGCGCGATTAAAGTGGAACGTGACGAGTTGTTTATCCTTTCCCTGACTGCTTTCCGGGGAAAATCTCGGCTTCTAGAAAGTCGCTCAGTGATTATACACAGTGAGCACTCGACGTGCTCGTCTTGTATTAATATACTGTCACAAATTCATAAAATTCGCAGTGCAGTAATGACGAACCGACGAGTCACTCAATAACAAATAAAGGTATCGGAGATCTATTATATTTAACATTTCCACTTCAGCCATTTTATCCCTTTTTCTTCCATTCAGACAACGTTGAAATTTCCACGTGAAAGCAATACAAAATCCGTCCATTCACTCGAAAAGACACAAAGGTCGACAGGTAAATGCGACCCGAAACCCCAGTGAATCGGGCGAAATTCGTATTTTTCGCGGGCCAGACTAATTCGTTGAAATTTTACTCGATTGCCACGGAATGTTCTTGTGACGATTCGCGAGCCCCTGATTTTCCAACGAAAATGGAAAGCTCTGGGGCGAGCATGGTTCTTTCTGTCCCTTTTCAAGCCCCTCTCGGCGTTTGAATTTATCACAAAGGGAACGATCGGATAACGCGAGCTCACCGAAAAATGCCAGCCACATTCTGCAGTTCGCGCTTTTAAAAAGAAATATCTTAACCACCGTGGAAACGAAAATCGCGATCGAACGTAGCCCGTTATCGCTACCCTTTCGTGCAAAATGGCGACACGCTGATCGCATGTGGTATGGAAGAGGGGAAACAAATTCGATAACACCCCCGAGGTTTTCGTGTCGCGTTGTTAACGATATCAAGGCCACCGATTCTTTTTTTTTTATCTACTGTTCACTTAGCGTAAAACGAGAATCCGTGCGTCATTTCGAAATTCAATCTGGAAATGAAATTAATCGCTGCCAGCTTTCCATCGCATTGCGGTGGAATATGAGGGCGGAAAAATCGCGGCGTTGGCACGGAAGAATGAAATGAAAATGTTTTTGACGGAAACTGTACAGAGGCTCTGTTAATTAAAAGGGCGGTCTACATCAATCAGGATTATACAATATTGTAACGAGGGATGTTGTAATATAAAATGATTTATCGAGTCAGTTTTTCTTGAGCCACTTGCAGCTTCAAGGGCTGCTTTAAAATTCAAACAACCTCTTTTTAAAATCCTTATAGCATCGCTAATCGGTCCAGTGTTAGTCTATGATCTTACCACGTCATTTCCAACACCGTAAACAGTATAACGAAGCCAAAAGAAATAATATCCATCTACTTTTACCGTATAACCCTTTTCTAAGTAGTATCAGCCTCCTTTGGTCAGACGACGTGAGTAGATTTTGGAATTCGAAGGACGAAAACATTAAGCGCAGCTCGTGCACGTCTCCTTTCGTGGTATGGTTATAGTTCCTCGTTAATCATCTATTCATGTGTCAAAGGTCGGGTGAGAAAGTGTCTGATGTATATTAAGAAACTCGTTTATATGCAGCCTTGCGAACGACCTTTCTTTAGTCTTACCGATTACGTGGACACTTTGCTTGACGGATCTGAATAATGGAACGACGACCGACATCTATCTCACCAGATTTCTATTTAAATGTTTGCACATGGAGAAATATTGATTGAGAATGGACGAACCTCTCACGGGGGGGGGGGGGGGCGGCAGGCTCTTTTCGCATTAAAATTGAAAATTTACGTTTAAATACATTACACGTTAAATACTTATTTTGACGCATCTCAACTGGTATTTAATGTCTTAATTACGTTTGAATTTGTTTACCTACACTCTTGAAAATTTCGCGTTAAATTCGACATAAGCCACAGACTCTATGCTGAGTACATTAGCATAACTTTAACGATTTCTTGATCTAAGTTTAACAAACTTATACTGTTCAACTTAACTTAAAAAAATATGTTAAATCTACATCCTTTTTGTGTTATGTTAATACGTAGCGTATTCATTAAATAATAACACAAATAGTTGGTAACTGTAATATAATCATTGTATTAATTACCTACGCTATTTTAACATTACAGAAATTCTATATAACATTCAAACTAAATAATATGAATCGAATTCTGTCCTTCCAGAAAACGCGAGCCGCTGGTGCAAACCTGATGGCGTCTGGAGCAACTATACCAATTATAGCCTCTGCAGCGACGTACGGGAACCCGCGATCGAGGGTGGAACCGAAGTCATCTCAACGACTATTTATTTCGTCGGATACAGCCTCTCCCTGCTTACCCTCGTTCTCGCAGTCTCGATTTTTCTTTACTGCAAGTAAGAAATTTTCATTCGTATCTCCGATGCCCTATATTCCTCCGATTTCTTATATTCAAAACCTTGGCACACTGATCGCGAGTGAAAGTATTCCTTGGAATTATTTATCACGGTGATCGCTACGTCACCCATATATGGGTGACAATGCTTTAAAGAAATTAATTCTGGAAGTTAAATGTCAAAGAAAATGAATTTGGACGAAATACTTGAATTTTTGTAAAATTACAAACACCAACATCACAGTTTTTAATAATCTATAAACAAAGTTTAATCGCAGTAGAAATTTTCAAGAGTATCTGGCAGCGAACGTGTTAAATTACAGAGAAATGGTTCCAAGCTCTGAAAGTACTAGTTTATTTAAATAAAAGACATAATTCTCGTGGCAGAGTACGAAGACACGCAATTTTGATCAGGTTTATTTTAACGTAGGCAAGATCTGGCTGTTTCTATTGAATTTTATTGATTTTATTTTATACTAATTAACGCTAAATTTACGAATGATTAATTTGGTCTCCGTAAATATCAACACTCATTGTTTCCCACGCGAGCAAATTAGCGATCTCGAGAGCGGCGTATTCCTCCCAAAATGATTAATCGAAGCGTGCTGCGCTACGCGCGTTGTACGAGAAAATTTTCGAACGAAAACCTCGCAGGTGTAATCTCGCCGTCTTCAACGTTGCTTTTCTCGGAGCGAAAAACGGTTCCCTGGACGCTTATCTACCCAGGAAGACGACTATAAATACAAGAGTAAAGCTCCTAGCCAGCATTGATAAAAACGAAACGGGACAACGGTGGAAATTAGTCGTGAAATATGCGCGTCGTTTTGAGAAAAACCTCTTCATGCCGCGTATGCGACGTGTGTGATAAATTAGGGTTTCCACGTGTGCGGAATTTGCAACACTAAGCAGCGAGCACTTTTACGTCTCGCTTCGTTAACGGTGGACGCTGAAAAATATTATAGCAATCCCGTTTCTTTGTACGGACAACAGGCTGCTTAAATCGCAGGCTACTTACGCGCTCCGCGAAGCGGAAACTGTATTTATAATCGTTGCGCGTCGGAGTCGCTCGGGTCATTCGTCTGAAACTCGATCTCTGCAAATTATTCGGGCGTTTCTGCTCGTGGGAAGATGGTATAAGCACGAGGAGCTTCATTAGTGCCGGTTAGAAGATTATTATTACCGGGGTATTAATTATTTGTTTAAAAGTACACGCTACTGCCAGAGTCGATTCACGAGTATCCTTGTAGGGTGATCAGAAGTATGCTGTGTTAAGCTCCTGATAAATTACAGGGAATAATTACGATGTAATTTTATTTACGTACAGTTTTATAAATATTCCTACGCTCTGTATCTATTGAAGAGAGTCTAAATTAACACTTTAAGTCTAAAGACACTTTTTTCAACTAAATACAAAAATATTTTACGCGAAATTAAATTGAATAATGAAACAATTGTATACATATAATTATATATTGGATCGAAGAACTCTGTACAAAAGATTGAAAACTGTTATTTGAACGGTCGTGATTGGTTTAGTGTTAGAAAGAAGATTTGACGTTTCCTAATAAATTTTTCATTGTAGATACATACACGTGTAAAGTTTACTCATGTACATATTTACAATGAAACATTGATTTGGAATATCAAACCTATCATTTAATTTAGACAAATTTCTTCTATATACATACAGGGTGCGAATATTTATGGGACTGACTGTATTCTACATAAATTATGTATATTTTATGTATGCCTACTATATCATTGTACGTCGTAAGTACATAAAATCTGCAGTCTAATTGAATAGATATTGTCATGATATCAAGAGCAAGAACCAAGCAGCAGGAGTTTCCCCGTTGCTCCAGCGATGAATTAGCGACAAAATTATACGAGAGGTTGGCGAAAGTGTACGCGGACGGTGGCAGCCAGGTAGAAATTGAGCTGCGAAGTAGTTCCAGAGGTGAGACCGGCTCTATATTGAATCAACGAGCCGCAACAGGTAAAAGACCCCGTTGCATATGGAAATTGTTCGCGGACATCGAGCATAGCTAATGCCCGTCCAAGCTTTCCATGGAGGTCAAAGACTAACGACCAAGGCGAACGTTAATTCCAGAAACACGAGCTAAGCCGTGCACCTAACGTATCCTGCGGGATACACGAAACGCCGGGGATATTGTATTAAGTTCATCCGGGGGATTTGAAACGTACACTTCCGCAGAGAATCCATGGTTTCCAGGAGATGTAAATTATTGACGCCTCCCATCCCTGCTATGGCGTACGGTGTACCAAGTGTTCCAAGAAAAACTACGGAAATTCCGCGTGAATCTTTTACGTTGCAATCGTAGTATCGTATGGGATATTTTCGGTTCTCTCAGTTTTCAGAGGGAATGGACATGGGTAGTAACGGATGGAAGAATTTAGAAGGATATAATTTTTAGGATGCATTGGGTTCTTTGTCTTTTAGTACATATGCAATTTAATATCTATCCAGGGTATAGTAAGGATATAATAATTAAAAAACGAAGTACCATTTTTGCAAAGGAAACTGTGGTTCAGAATCGTCTCGGCTACCCCCCATTTCCGGCTCTTACACTAATTCTGGGACATCCTGTATAATTGGATGATAGTACAATCGAAATATATTTTACTATACTTGTATTATTATTATTATACATATATATTGTATAATACATATATATTGTATTGTACCACAATAATTATACATATAATATCTAGCTTATCTAATATCTAGTTTATCATGTGTTGCCATTAAATAATATAACAGAATACATTTCGATTCTATTATCATCTAATTATATTGCATTCTAAGAGCCGACAACGAGCTCAACCCCTCCACCCTAAAAAATCAATTACATTGTCCCCTCTCGAGGAAAGTACGGCAATAATCGATGTCTGCGAGCTTTGAAATAACTCTGTTTTCGATTCGTTCACCCATTATAAATTATTAATGTTTCGAACAATCCAGAGTCGCAGGCAAAAAGTAAACGTGGTGGTAAACGCTCGATGAGAGCAATAGATGAAACGTCAAGTAGTCAATTGCGATCCCTCCTGTGCAACGTAACGCGTAACGAGATCTCCGAATGAATAGCGCATACGCGAATGTGAACACTGTGAACGCGCGACACATGACGTAAATAGCTAAGGGCTGTATGCTCGGGAACTGACAGGAGCACGCGTTTCCGGCTACTTAACTTCGACCAAGTCGTTTCACTGTTACAGACAGCCGCGTAATTTGTTAAAGCGTCTGCGAAGTTCGCTGCTGTTGCGTTCAGTTTTGTGGAGTTAGGATAATTTTACGGTAGACATAGTTGACACAGAGGAAAAAGTAAGTTTTTCAGTAAAGGAAAGAGTTATTTGTTCTTAAAAAAAAAAAGCAATATTTTCTAGTTGTACGATGAGAATATTAAAATATTCCTGTAGCACGTTTGTTCCATCGATCTTCCGGGCTTTTTCATTTATCCAGGGAATGTTTAATTAAAAATTACATGGGCAAGAACGCAGATATACTAATTTCTCACCAGTAAGAATTAACATCAGGTTGTTTTAAAAGTTTTTTATTAGTTTTCTTCGAGTAACTTGTACTCAAGGAGGCTACGCATGTGGTCATCCTCTTGTATGGTTGTCTCATGTGAGGTTTATATTACACTAGATCTGGTTATTCCAATTTCCATCACGTTTATAGTCTTGCTTTTTCGTTGTGTAATGATAGAACTGTATCCTTGGAATTTGATTGACGGAAATATTCATTTCTGTACAAACGAATCTCGTCGCGACACGGTGCAGTTACAATTCTCCGTGGCCCTCGAGAGGAAGCAGGGAAAAATCGCAAGTACCTCGCAGTTCTATTAGCTTCTTATTCGCGAACATCGCGAAAGAGGCTCTACTACCGTTATCCTGTCGTCTTCCTCGCCGTTCTCTTCATATCTCGAGAGCTTGTTACTGACCTCTTTGTTCGAGGGAAAGTTGCGGCTTTTAATACAGCCAGCGGAAAAGGTATCGGTGTAACGAGCAACTTGAAACAAAAGTTCACGTAACTGCGTTCGTTAATAAATTTTAACGAGAAAAACGTTCTTGCGCTGCATTTTATATAAAAACAATATCGGTGGAAAAAGAGCACTGTGATTTACACATGAACGTGTAATCGTTAATTCTCAGTTTCGAGGCGAAAGAAACGGCAGCTACGTTCCTCTGTAGGAAATTGTCTGCTATGATCACTTTTCCCAACGAGAAAGCACGAGACTACGCGTTTATTTATTATTCGATGGAGATTACGCCACGAATCTCTGTTACGCTCCGCGGAAACAAAGCCTCTGGCGCGTTGCAAGGTATATTTACAGTGGGTGTAAAAAGTATTCGTACGACGACTAATTGGACCCAGAGGTCTGAATAATTGCGTTAACGAGGCGAACGTATCCTTTTGAATAGGTTTTACACAGATCCACATACTTACGACTCATTATTCCATCTGTGTTTTATTAAGGGACAAAATCTTAAAGCCCTTGCTGATATTTCTTAATGAATAATGACTTCGTTATTGATATAAATTGCCAACTTACAGCATGGCGAATAAGTCTCATATACGGGTGGTTTAAATTCTTGCAGTTCTTGGTATGTTCCATACCATCTGTGTTTGACTAAATGACTAAATCCTTTGCTGATATTTCTTGACGAATAACGACTTCATTATTCATACAAATTGCCAACTTGCGTGCGTCGGTGGAAATCGATAGGCAGCAATATGTATGCATAAATACCGAATAATCTGCAATATTTCTTGATAAGTATCGACGACCCATAATATCGATATGAGTATCGACAAATATCAGCCCTCTTTATCAGTATTAACGATGGAAATTGGATACTAACCATTATCGTACGCGCATAGATATGAAATAATTTCTAATATATCTCGATAAATATCGACAACCCCTGTTGCCAGTATTTACTCGTTTGCTTTTTGTGAAATCGTACAATGATAATTTTTCCCCTTTCAATTGAAACCGTGGTAAACCAAAAACATTGAACCGAACTGGAACGTTCACACTCGTAATAATTGTACATCGAATAGCAATACGTCCCCTTATCCTGGTTACAAACTATTGTTCTTTCAACTTTTGCATTTAAACGTCATACGTGTTTACGAGACGGAACGCCCAACGCCAATGGCATTTTATTTCGAATCGAGCAGAGTTGCCAGAATTGTTCGATATTCCTGCAATAAAAGATAAAACGGCCCTGAAAATGGAGGAGAAACGGCTTCGATGATATTCGAATCAACGAAAAACAGCAAGTGCTGACGGATAACAGATTTCTCCCACTTTTCAAACAAACATTCATTTTTCTAAGCGCGACGATAACGCGCGAAAAGAAACATAAGCTATTCGAGTTGTCCGAACAATTCCCCGAGCCAAACGTCCGACTAATTCGATTTCGTACTACTGAAATTTCTCTGGTAAGCAACGGTTGCTCCTTGCTTGCTATTTGTCTTGCTTCACAAGCGACCAAACCAACGTCCAACTACTTAAAACTCCGTGTTTGATATATGGTTTCGCATCTGCAGAGATATCGCCGTCTTCTGTATTCCCGTCGCGACGAGAACTTCCTCGAGCAGTAATTCGCGAACGGTATCTCTAATTGGCGACTGGAACTCGCGCGAATGAATCACGGAAATTAGGGAAATTTAATTTTACATTCAAAAGCAACGTTAATTCTATTTTCTTATTATTTTCTATTTTCTTAAATAAAATATAAAAAGTAAATAACTACTAACACTAATACTAATACAGTCTACACCTATTAAACGAATCTTATAGTAAATTCTGAATAGAAAGAAAAGGGAAAAGGCATAGAACGTCTTCCAATTAGCGAGTGCCAGTAGGAATAATTTCTCGTTGACGAAATAAGAGAGAATTTTTTAGCAAGTCCTCGAGCGTGTTTCAAAGACCTTCCAATGAAATTTTCATTGAAAACTGTCGAACCAAACGAAACGGGAAGGGAAAATGGCAGATGAAAAACTGCTCTCGAAGTGAACAAAAATTTTTGCTTGATTTTTTTTTACACGAGTTTGTTTCGCGTACCGTAAATCGAATAAAATGCTGGGGCCAAGTACGAGTGAAACAGAGAGCTCCTATTTCGTAAAATAAAGCGTATTTCATTTGCTCTTGATTAATTGTACGTATTTGGGAAAATTACTCGCGCGTCGACATATAACGGAAACTTCTCGTTTGATTTCGCGTACGAATGATAACGTTACGCGCTATCAACGTAGAAGAGTAATTATTCGCTGTACGTTGAAACCTCGTATTAATATATATGTATTAATACAATTTCGTATTGTACTGACACAGTAATATTACACTGAAATAATGAAGTACTCGTTAAAACTCAATTATCCGAACTAATTGGAGGACACATTAAGAAAGGTTCCTTGTTGCAGAATACTCGACTGTTGAATTGAAAATAAAAGCTTTAAACAAAAATCGGGAAAAGGTTATAATACGCGTAATCACTGTAATTTTCATTCGACCACTGTAATTTTAATCCAATTACTCAATTTAACCAACCAAATTTTTGTTACAGAGAGCTGAGGTGCCTCAGAAACAACATCCACACGAACTTAATGTTTACTTACATCCTCGCAGACATGATGTGGATTCTGAACAACGTGATGCAGGTATCGCAATACATTCATAGGAATTTTCTTTTCCCTTAAAAATTGTTTTACCTCGTTGTTGCATCCTTTACCTAAAAGTACGAGCGTTCTTCAGCCAAAACGTAACGCATTTCTGTTCTTTGATCTGAATCCTTTGTTCTCAAGTGTGAATGAAAAACATGATTGTACTAAACTTTGCACAGGATTGTACTAGACTTTGCACAGGATTGCGCAAAGCGAGTTTTAAAAGCATTTGACCTGAAAAAAGACGTCGAGAACTGAAACTCCGCCACTTGTTGCTGAAACGCGAAATTACAATATTTCTCTAAAAAGGGAACTTCAAACACTGCATAAATACATGTACCCAAAGAAACTTTCACAGTGGGAACAATGGAAACGAGTACCTATAACACGAGTGTAAGGAGAAAATTTATTAATTTAATAATTAAGGAATAAGCGAAAGTTTCGATTATACTATAATATAAAACTATATAAAACTATAAATCGAAATTACACAAAAATTTTAAATCGCTGCCGTTTAATCGGGAACAGTTATTAGGAGTATTTAAGTTAGCAAAGTAAAATTAATAAAACATTGAATGCTAAACAATTTAAATGAGATTCAAATTATCAATCACGTGTATCAAGAATAATTATATTCCGCATTTTGGAATCGCCGATTATGATCGTAATAACCGATAAACAACAGTTAATATATTACGTTACGTGTTTGTTAATAAAACAATTTCCGTTTCGCGTTCTTTGCCACAAGTACGAGAATTGTATACGTATAGATTTATTATAATGAATATCAGGAGAACTTGGAAGGTTGGTAATTTAACGTAACATATTATGAAATCAATATTATTATTTAAACTGAGGTTACAAACGATTGAATGGAAAGCTACAGAATTATTTTCTACGGCTAATAAAAACCACGGGCCACGAGCACCACCTTAATTTGGCAGTAAATTAGCAAGGAGGCTAATTGGAGACGATTAGTCAGGAAATAGATTCTTCCTGGTTCGAGGAAAATTTTTCACAAGGGCGAACGCCGTTCTCCATTAGTAGCGAAATTTCTGGAAACCCCACTAACGAACCAGTGAGAAAATTAATTACGCCCGTTGAGTAGCCCACCTACCTGCCTCTGCCTTTTCGATAATTAAAAGCCCGTCGTGAAAACGCGAATGCAAAGTGCCAATGATTCTTCTATGTCTGATTAAAAAAAGAATGAGTAAACAAATATTTTCCGCGAGACTCAAGTTTCGTGGAGTGTAACGAACGTAACAACCGTAGTAAAAAATTAATCTTAAAGCTCACGTTCATTATGCATCAGGTCTGAAGAAGTTAAAAGCATGTCGTCCCTGCCATGGCGCGTAATTCCAGCAGGCAGAATCGTTTTACGGGAAAATTTATCGAGAGACGACGCCGTTAATCCCAAACTGACGAGGCAAAACGCTTGTTGACATAACCGATAGGGTGGGATTAATTTGGCCAGGATTAATAACACAGACGAAATACACGTTTGATCGTACGAAAAAGCATTCTACAAAAAGCTGGCGTATATGTACATATGTTTTTCCTTTAAAAATATAAACTTTTCGAAATCAGCCAATAATTTAACTTTTTCATCCATAGCATAAACCCATTGAAAAATTAAAACGTTAAACGTGTAATGTCTCAGACCAGGGAATAAAACTTATATGGTTTATATTTCCCTCCTTTAAATGAAACTCGTCGTATATCTAAACTTTTCGAAGTCGGCGAATAATTTAATTTTTTTCATTCAACCTGTAAAACCATTGAAAAATTAAAACGTAAAACGTTCAATGTTTCAGTCCAGGGAATAAAATTTGCAACGTTGCGCGTTTATGAATACCAAATTCACACCCCCTGCGTTTTGCATTTATGCAAAACGATCCACCGTGGTCATTGGTCACTCATATACCTCGCACGGTCGCCTGTAAGGTTTTAAACAAATATTTGTTGTCACCAGGTCTCCATGCAGCCGGACGTGCCGACCTGCATCGTTTTCCTGTCTTTGCTTAACTACTTTCAGCTGACCAATTACTTCTGGATGTTCGTGGAAGGTAATTACCCTTGGCTCTTTGGTGATCTACATTCGTTTGCGTAAATTAGAGACTGTGGATTGAAAAATAGAAAAGCTTCCTTTGTTAGGAATTAATCATAGCATACAGTAGCCAGCAGGAGTAGAGTAATGTTTTTTCTTGTTACTGCAGAGGCTCGTTTGCAATGGCCAGAACTGACATTGTTGAAGCTGAGATTATTAATGGTAAAATTATCAAGCAAGTCAATTTTATTCATGTACTTCAAACTTATTTATAATGACACTCGATCGTTAACAATGATTCAATCGGTATGTTTGAAGGCAAATTTAATATTGTAATCTGCTGCAACATAGAATTAATTTGATAAATAAATTGGCTTGCTCTTCATAATTACAAACATATAGTCCTATGTATAATAGATATCCATTGACCTCGGTAGTATTAACATTGAAATTATTTCTAATTAATGTCTCTGTTAACATTGAAAATATCTTTATTAAATTAGAATTACATTTGTTTATACATCCTTTCTCATTTTGGTATTTCATAAACAATTCATCGTTATCTTTTCAGGCTTGTATCTGTTCGTGCTCGTCGTGAAGACGTTCACTGGTGATATTATCAAGCTGAGGCTGTGCCTAGTGATAGGATGGGGTAAGGTTGAGATTATATTTTCGTCGTAAAAATTAACAAATAAGTCCACGCGTTGGGGTAAATGTATCGCGAACGGTACGGTTTCAATTGTCAAAGACAGGGAAATAAACGAGAGATGTTCGAGTTTCCCCAAATAACAAAACTCTTGAATGATCGATAATCCTTTAGCGCGATAAATAAATGGTGAAGAAAATATCAACGGTCCTTCGCACAACCGAGTAGCATTATTTTATTGTAAAAGCATATTTCAAGCGAGAGGAATTCTAATAACCAAGTCTCCCTCTTTTCGCTTCGAACACTCCGAATCAATATGGACTACTTAGTGCTTTCAACGCCATTTTATCGCGGAAAAATGTTAAAACCTCTGGCCCCCTGTACTGGGCGTTTACTTTATTTTATCACGAATAACGTGATTTACATCAACGTATCATATTTTAACCACTTGTAATTACTCGTGAAGTTTATACAGATAACAATAGTTTCGAATTTAGCGATTTTCATCGAATTATTTAGAAGATCAAACAAAAAGTGTAGAAGGTAGATTCGAGTCATCGCTGTTGTAACGAGTGATGGTTCAACGGGGAAATTTTCTTCAGTCCCCTGGTGCTCATTCCAGCTGCCTACAACTTTATTTGCATCCCTTTGAAATAAACAAGTCACTCCTGAAATATTATCACCCGTCGTTAAAAGTAACGGGGTACTCGGGGCAACCGTAACCAACCCAGACACCCTGTGCATACTGATTTAATGTATCGATTTAATTTTAGGTATGCCGGTCCTCTTTATTGCCGTTTGGGGTATCGCGAAATCGCTCGATCAGAGCATCATGGCCCACGCGAACCAGGTAAGGAAACATCATGTAAATATACTAGGCGTTCCAGGAATCACGGTACAAACCAGAAGAAGGTCTTTGTATAAAACTTAATCGAGAATATACAATATAAAATAAAGAAAGATATAGGAAATAAAGTGAAAGAACGCTAGGAACTATACTAAATGATAACGTTGCAGAGAATAAGATTCACGACCTGCTTGAATTCGTCAAAGAAACGAAGATTGTTAATAAAATATTTTGAGTAAATGTTAACGCTTCCGTCGCTAATAACCTAGGTGTTGATGCGACGTTAATCTAGATTTAAAGGAAAAAAAACGGTAATCACGATGTCGCATCTTAAAAGGAAAAAGATTTAAATAGTCCTCTTCGTGGTTGTACTGTTAGAACACTTTATATGCAGGCTGCCAGTTGACGATCTTCGCAAACATCGAATACAAGCAACGCCTCGAGGAACACAGGGGGAAAGAGCCAACGCGCCAATCCATTGAAGCCTCGTTTCCACGTTCCCCCGCGACTTTATTCCCTTTTATTGGTATACCGTGGAACTGGATAGATTGCTCCTGGATGGAATTCCAGATTCAATGATTAGGACATTTGGAAAATACTGTATAACACACGTTTCCAATGAATTGTAATTTATTATTGCACTACTGACCAAGGTTTCGTGTTACATAAACTACTTTACAATCAGGGATAGACAACATAGACGTCACTCACTGGCAGGACTGTTCAATCGAGATAGAACCTTACGTATTTTCTTATACTAGTCGTTGGAGTACATATATTTCTTTAAGCTTGAGACCCAAGGCAACTACCTCGACTGTCCTATCCTGTGATAGGATCCACGATACTCTGAGCACTCTTTCAAGCCAGGCATAAAAATCTGTTCGTTTTTACTACCGATTTAATGGGTTTGATTGTCATCATTATATCCTCGTGGCTATGAGGAATAGGGTCTAAGAATGGCTGGGATCAAACGGGCCAGTTACTTCGGTGCCGACCCTTCAGTTTCATCCTGTAGGATAACCTGCAGCCTATTCAGTAGCGTAGTAAGAGTTTCGAGACACGATCCGTGTTAACACACCAGTCGAATACGTGACTCGAAGGCAGAATGAAACGAGGCGGAAGCTCGCCTGGAGTATCTGTCGATATTGTAGTCAGGGCAAAAGATTCCACCCCTTCGGTCTGCTCGAACGTCCCTTCTGTTTCACCTGGTCTAGATACCACGAAGCCGTGGAAGAGGAAGACGAACGACGATGAAAAGGAACTTGAAGATCGCTGGTGGGTTGAGACATCTGCCGACGAAACTCGAGCAATTTGATAGCATTGAGCATGATAGGGCTGTTATTGTATGTTCCATGACAAGATGAAACTTGATACGAACTGATCCTGGTTTGCTATGTCGACACGACGTTCTAACGCGAGGAATATTTCTGGAAATATCTTTACCTTTATTATCTAGTTCTAAATTAGTCATTTCTAATAAAAGAAGTAGCAGACAAGTATATCACGATCCAGTAGTACTGTCAGCATTTATGACAAGCTCAGGAATTAGGTGTAAGGAAGGTCTATAATCGATATTCAATGGGAAAGGGGTTGTATTTTCCCAAAATTTTGTTAAAATGTAAGAATGTATGTATGTAATAAATTTGAGATGGCCATTCCATGTGAGCCAACACTGTCTGAGATAACGATAAGACGTTATTTGAACGAGCAGCACGCGTCCCACGAAAGAAAGTAAATGTTTGCGTCGGTCGTAAAGCTGGCCCAGTTTTACCAAGGCACGACGGTAATAAATAGTAACCACGGTGTTCGCAGGAAGTCGCGCTGGGGAAGCATTGTCCCTGGATGGTGTCGCATCCTTACGACTGGTTTTATCAGGGCCCGGCCATTTTGGTCCTCTGCGCGAACGTGGTGTTCCTCTTCATGATAATGTGGGTGAGTGCGTGCTGATCTCTTTATCAACGGGCAAACTGTAATATGTAAACACTGGTGAATACGCTTAGTTACATAATTACATCCGCCTTCCTGTTAATTAATTGGAACACTATCGGCCATATTAATTTCACAGAAGATACAGAATAATGTTGCTCGTACTGGAAACCTATTTTCGAACGTTCCACAATTTCTTTGTAATTGTAATCGCTATTCTTCTCCTTTTTATTGTTAGCAATATGCAGGTTCGTGCATATTACCATTACAATTACAAAAATTCAAGATACATTAAACTGTGAGTGTAATATAGTAAGCGTGTCGACACAGTACAAAAATTTAGAAGTACTACATAATTAACTCTTGATTAGTTAGACATTCATTAATAAAAATGAATACATTCGTGCTTCTTTAGAAACTTGTGAATAAATATTAATGGAGTTATACATGGTTTTCTTAAGAAGGTATCTATTGTGTAGGAAGGACAGAGTCCAAGCCTTCTGAGACTGCAAATCATGTATCTCTTTCGTCCTCAAACAGCTGGCATCGCCATATGTAAGTGTTATCGATGAAACGAAATAACGTGAAACAATTCTGTAACCTAGGTCCTGATAACGAAGCTCTGGTCCGCAACGAACGCGGAGACGCAACAATATTGGAAAGCGAGCAAAGCACTCCTGGTCCTGATACCTCTCCTCGGAGTGACTTACGTGCTCGTCCTGATGGGACCCACGGAGGGTCAGGTTGCTAATGCATTCTCCTACGCTCGCGCTGTATTGCTTTCTTCTCAGGTAATGCAACGAGTATCTCCTTACAAAACGAACTTTCGTACAGTGAACATTTGAAGGGGTCTCAACGATCGCGGAAACGTTACTTCTCCTTTGATCAAGGATGCACGCTCACTTTAGATATTGTCACTTTGAAATTCGTGATCGTTGTATAACCCTTTCGACCCGACTTTTTTCTATCTGGTTTCTATTCGTTACTCTTTTAGAAATTAATTGTATTAAATTAAGGTTGGCTATAAGTCAAAGACCATAGCCAGATAAGAAAGGACAATTTGTTCAGCACAATTGATATTCCTTTTTTTAAACATACGTTCCTGTTAGTCTCAATTTGACAAAATCGCAACCAGATATATTCACTGGGACATACATGTCCCACTAGGATCAAAAGAGATAACTAAATAACTGTACACATTCTTACAGGGCCTTTTCATTGCGCTATTTTATTGTTTCTTGAACGCCGAGGTTCAAAATACAGTGAAACACCACATCGAACGATGGACCACGGCCCGCGATCTGGATACCGAAAGAAGGTATTATAACAATTGGTCACCCCGTTCGAGAACAGAGAGTATAAGGTATTTTATTCCCCTACTATATACGTGTTAAACAATGCGCTATGACGACGAACACTGCGCGTGGCCACAATGCGTTCAATAACACAGAATCGAATTTTCAGGAGAGTTACCTAATTACTATTTTATTCTAAAAACATTCCATTTAGACATTTCTAAATCACCTTCGAAGTAAGGAACATTGTTATGTGTATTATAATATCCGTACATCGATTTATCGAATTTTCGAGATCTCAATCTCATGATTTTCAGGTTGTACTGCCCCCCGTCGAATCTATATAGAAAAAGAGATTCCTCTGTAAGCGAGACAACAACCACGACCGTAGTAGGTATGAATTCGACGACCACGTTTCTGGACAAAACAAAGAAGGCGATCTCGGAGGATCTCAACGAGTAAAAGATTCTCGATAAGATCTAATCGCTTTTCTGAACAAACGATCGAATGCTAAGGAATGGTTGGTGAAATTATAAAATCTTGACATATGAGACAATGCTTCAACAGTTTATTCGGAATCAGCCATTGAGTTAGGGAAAGAGATACTCTTTCATTCTCTTCCATTCGTTCCTTCATTCACGCTCTGCCATTTTCACTTTCGCGTCCCTAGCATTCTCTTCCCTCCTTTGCTTTTTTTTTTATTTTCATTAGTTTTGTTAAGAAACGCGTTTGTACCAGGGGAATCGATTTCTGTTTTAAATGCTACGACACCTCTCTCAAATTTCCAAAAGTGGACTCCTGTAAAAAAAAAAAAAAACGGTGTAAGAGGTTTTCAATAACAAAGAGAACGTCGCCTATCGCCGAACTGTTTTCAAAATAGAAAGAAAAATTATATTTGCATTTCAAACTGGGTAAAATTGTATTTATATTAGACTCCATTGATGTTAAACTTTTCTTTGGTATATTATCCAAAATATTCTAATAATCTTCTGTTACTTTACCCAGATTTCTTTGCAAATGAAAGGAAAAAATATAACCGTATAATAATATTACAATCATTGAAAATAATTATTCTCTTAAGATATTTCCCACATCGAAGTACCTACAGTCATCTTCCTTTTGTGAAAGAGAACTTTTAAAAATTCGTGGATGTAAAATTATTATAAACAAATTAACAAAAAATCAATAACTGTTTGTACTATGATTCAAGAGAAACTATTTATTATAGTGATCTATTAATTATTTTATTTTGACTTTGTTACTGCCTTATAGCCACGAAAGCGTTGTCGAAAATATATTGTAAATATGTATTAACAATCGCTTCCATTAGACCTTGGACATCACTCTTTCCCAAGTCATATATATATACATATCGCTAAATTTTTATTTTATGTTCTCTATGATATCGTCCAATGAATTACTATATTTTACATATGTATTAAGATTTATAAAATGTGTTATACAAAGTCGCGCGCGCGCGTGTCTGTGTGTGTGTTTTTTTGTGTGTGCGTGTGCATATACCTACAAAGTTTAAAGGATGTTACAGTAGTCAATACTAAGTTTAAAGAATAATTCTCGACAAACGAACAAAGCTACATTTCGGAATGCACGATAAAAGCAACAAATAATATCATGCCCAAAAGTAACAGAGGAGTTCGTTATTCGGGATTCAAATTTTGTCCAAAGATCTAAAAAAAAAACAAAACTATTTGTTAGTAACTACAAGGTGAAAAACCGAGAAGAAATCGTACCTGATGAGATAACTTTTGTTTTTGCGTTCAAGTATAATTAAAGGAAGTCATATTTTATACAGCTAAAATGATAAAATAAGTCGCTTAATGCAAAGGTAATATTTAAAAAAACTTGTTGGGATGATACAAATGTCAGAGAAATACAAAAAAAAGTGAACATAAACATTTAGTAAGATTTCCTGTGCGATATCTGTGCACAATATGAAAATTTACACAAAATTAGTTTCTTTAGCGGATAAAAGTAATATTTTTATTAAACAGGCACAATATAAGATATCGCATATGAGCAACGGTATACGTTTAAAAATATATATATTATTCTAAACGGAAATATATTACGATTGCGACAGGCAAGATGATCTTTGGACCTTAAGTGTCACCCTTCAATATCATTACGACCTAATATTTATTTTACTTTGCGTTAATGACCCGTGAGTGTTATTTATTAAACAACTTCATATGTACAAATTTGTATAGAGACAGATTAGAGAAAGAATTGTAAATGGTATGTATTATTCGATGTATCGTCGTTTTAAACTACCATTTTAATAAGCCTATCAAGATGATAAAATGCACTCTCACGACACTTGTTTATTGAATATATTTGTGAGATGCTGATATAAGAACACAGTTTTACTTCAGACGCTCAGTCTGAACCTTATATTGAACTAAATTAAACTAAATTGTTCCGTGGAATTCAATTTACTCGATAGAAATGATTAAATGCTGGGCATCGTGAACTACAGGCACCCAAAAAAAATCTCTGTTTTCATTTCAGTAGAGCAAATTTATCAAGTTGTCACTGAAGAGGAGACTGATTTTGCAGTCGTAAGTTTTAATTATTTATGTATATGTATTTTTTTCACAATTACGTAATGTCAAATTAAAATTTCCGTAAAAGTCTAATGCATGAGCAAAGTGTAAGAAGTAAACCAAGAAGCGTAATCTTGTACATGGAATGTTCATAACAAAAGAACTAAAAGCGTCAAAAATAGAAACGATACTACTACAAAATTACGAAATGAATTAGTGATTATAGTACGAATCTTATATATATGAATTACCTTTTTTTTTTACATTCAATGATAATTTAATATTACATTAACAACTGCGTACTGTTCATATTGTTACTGTGTCCACGTTTTGTGTAAGACCTAACAATACTTTGTACAAGTTTTATGATACAAATATATTACGACAATTCAGTTTAAATACCATACAACATTATACTTTTAGCATTACACCTTTCATAGATTAAACCATTTCTTGTACAAGACAATGATCTTATTCATACGTAATGTCATTAAAAAAAGGATCCGACTGCTTTCATATTCAAGGACTGTTTTTTTTTTCCGCATGGTACTGGGAAAATAGAAATCTACACATTTATGCACCTCCATCAACAAACATACTTCACACCTATTCACTTTGAAGGTATTAACCTCGAAGTATCCTCGTGGTTCTGGTACTTTGGTTTTCCATGCGTAAAGGGCAGGTATCTGTATTTGATCATATGCTGAAAATAATTTCAAAATAAGTTACTCTTCGTCCTTACATAATTACATGTTACTATTATAATCACCAAATATAATATTCCAGGCGAAAATGTGATTTGTTACCTTTATTTGACGTTTCATAGTAATGCAAAGTAGAGTTATGAAATACATAACTAATATGGGCCAGAACACTGGTATATTAAAGCAATCAAACATAGTGCATATCATAGCTATGACTGTAGACTTCATTACAGAATACCAAAATTTAAATTCAGGTAACCTCCTAATAAAGGGCCTAAATTCTTCATTAGACCTTGTGGGTAACTCTGGTCCATCTCCATCTATTAAGAAACTTTCATTATGAAGATATATCGAAGATAACATCAGTGTATTGAACTAGTTCATTTTGAATTCAAATTGCGTTAATAATTTTTTCTCAGTAGATTTATAAACACTCACCATCAAAATCCATTGCAGGATCAATTTTAGGAGTAAGGAATGCTATAAATAAATTCAAGTGATAAATTCCTAATGCATATGTGACAATATACCATCCCTAGAAACATGAAAAATACACAAATATTTTCAACATTCTTTTAAAATTGTTGCAATTTAAATTTATAAAAGTACAATAACTTACTTGTGTAATAAATATACGCAGAACAAAAACAAGTAATAGAAACACAGCGAATGTCCACCTTGATATTACATGGGGGGTCCATAAGTCCAAATATCTTTGATATACCTATAATATGAATGTATATTTATAAAGTTAAAACAATTAGTTTAATTAAATAAATATGATTACATACCTGTGATATTCTTCCTATCGCTTGACTAAATACATTTTGTCCTGCTGGACCACCCAGATGCTCATCTTGCATCATCTTACCTTCCTATAAAATAACCTAATAAGGAACATTATTAATACCTTTTACAAGTAATACTTTATTTCTATCTGTAACATTTAATATCATACCCATAAAGTATCACTAAAGTATTCACAGAAGAAAAATAAATTTATTCACAATAAATTTATTAAATTTACATAAATGATTTCTTGCCACTACAAACATTTTCTCGAACAAATAACGAAATAAATGAACAAAATTTTATCATAAGAGTTAAACTTTCATGTATATAAGAAGCATAATCACAGTGAAAGATTATTTATTAAATACTTGAATATTCAGGAATCTTCATGTAAAGCACAACATTATACTCAAAGAAAGTACACAAATAGTATTTCAAGTTATTAAGACCAATCATTACACCGATCTCAAGGTTGCAACAATTTTAAGACTTCCTAAGCAAAACGTCGACCTGTTTCTTTATAATAAAGAATAACTTAAAGTTGAATTGAAGCTGGAAATACGTGTTCATCGAATGCACAAATAATATTCTCGCGAAATTATAAACAATACGTCTATGAAAGTAATAACATATTTACGAGCACCTAAAATCACGAAATAAACTGATGGATGTGCACATAACCTCTTATCCTATGATTACGGCAAGTGTTACCCCGAAACGAATGTATAGTTAATATGAACTGAATTTACCTAAGGTATTTGTACGTTTTCAGCCAATCTCTGCGATCAATTCACTATTTGGTTAATTTAAAAAATATAACACGTCACTACATTAACAGCATACTATGATTAGACATACTATAGAATTTGCAAGGTGCTTCCACTTATCTTCTGGTAGAGACCCTCACGAAATAACATTGGCCGATTCTGATTGGTCTCCGCCATTTTTCAGCTGAGTAATAAATACTTGTACAGTCCTTTCTAAAAATGAAGTAACGCAAATGACGAAAGCATGGCGAATTTCAAGTGTTTCGCCTTTGAAGGCGCTGACAATATGATAGACATCTTTCTGTCTCTCACAGTCAAAAAGTGTAAGGCTAGATGAGAAATATTTGTAACATAATGTGGAGATAGATAAGAGGCACACCCATGAAACCACCACGGGGAAACTAACTTCTTTCTGGCTGAACGTAACCTTAAAAGTTATAAAGTAAATCAATGATCGTTGTACCTTTATTTTTAAATACTCATTTTTCTCTTTTTTCTTAATAAAACATATTCTCAACATTTATCATTTGTCACACTTTACTAATTATGATAAACACATTCTACGAGATCCACATTTTCTACAATTAATCATCATTTCTTTGTCTAATTACAAATAGAAGCATTCAGACCCATTCGGACTGCCATCGTTTACTACCAGAAAAATGTCATTATCATTATCAGAATACATATTATTGAAGAACACACCTACGAAATAGCAACCGACCCAACAAACCGGCTGGTATATAGGTTGCCGCATAACAGGGGCACATCTGCGCCTACGAGATGGCAACGGAACCGACAAACAGGCTAATATAGGTTGCCGCATACCAGGGGCACATCTGCGCCTACTAGATGGCAACCGAACCAACAAATATATCATTTTTTTTATCAAACCACCCTAATTCTTCTGTATCATTATTTTACATGTTATGATAAACCGACATTGAAGGGGAAACATATCTTATTTATTTAAATTCACTCTCAAAACATACCAGTCCATATTTCCTTCGTGCCACCTCTTCGCAAATCATGTTCTCCTGATACCAGGAGTAAAATTCCAGCCAGAATTTGATACGTACCAAAGATCTTTCGTGCCACCTCTCCGCATATCATGTTCCCCTGATTGGTATCAATTGGTATGAAATTCTGGATTAAATTTTACTCCTGGTATCAGAAAAACATGATGTGCGAAGAGCTGGCACGAGGAATCTTTGATACGTACCAAATTCTGACTTGAATTTTACATTTTGGTAAATGGTAGATGGGCGACTCGAACGCATGCTACAACCCTTTATTTTGTTTCGCCATCTAGAAGTATGAGTCGGAAGTATTTCCAATACAAACTTGGGGGTTTTCCCACCGATAGCGCCACAGGTTCTAGAAACCGCTCACTGAGCTGCTTAATGAGCGATTGTATTGAACTAGTATCCCACGTGTTTACTCCATCAACATAAAATATGGAGTACTGGAATTATAGTAGACTTATAGTATATATAAGGTGTTAATTTTTTCATCATGAATACTCCAATATTGACAAAACAACAACAAAAACATAGTCTGTCAGCAAAGAAAACATCAGCCAAGGGATTACGAAATGTTTTAGCCCAACCCCAAGATAGTTACTGGTAAATACTAATTTATTATTTTTATCATAATATTTCCGTTTTTATAAAATTTAAAGAATACTTATTTACATTTGTTAGGCCAAGTGTAAGTACAGATAAATATCCAGATTTGGAAAGTCTTTTAACAAAGTAAGTTTTAAGAAGAAAGAAAAATGTTTTCCAAATCATCATGAGATGATATATTTTATCCTTGATATTTATAGTTTGACAACAGCAATAAAACGTACACATCATGATCTTCCGTGGTCAAAGTTGAGACACATGAAGAAAGAAGAACGTGCACTGGCTAAGAAGGAGGCACTTTCAAAGGAAGGAAATGTGCTAAATACAGAGATAATGTAAATATTTTTAATTAAGTCAGCATAACATTTTAAATTTATAACATATACCTTTCACTTTTAGAAATTCTGTTATCTTGGGTTTGAATGCAATTACAAGGTCTTTAGAAAAAAGTAATGTTTGTTGTGTCTTAATGGATGCCCATATTGAGCCACAGTTTTTAATAAGACATATTATCATTATGGCACAAAATAAAAAAGTACCAATATTACTACTACCTAACTTAAAAACTATTACCTTAAATTCCATTGGATTTGCATCTGCTGCATTTGCCCTCAAGGTAAAGTTTCTTAATAATCTAAATAGCACTATGTCAACTCTATAGTTACAACTTTGATTTCAGAATATTGTGATGGTATCTCCTGATCATCATTTTTATCCACTGTATTCAAAAATACATGATATCTCCAAGGATATTCCTTTGCCAAAGAATTCACTTCAATTATTTAAGGATGAGGAAACTTTAGAAGAATCCACATTGAATACAGAAGATAAAATAAGTATTGAAAATGTTTCACAGACTGAGTCTTCAGAACCAATTAAATTTATACTATCCACAAATGTATATAAATATAGATCTTCATGTAAGCAAAGAGCATTCATTCCACTTAATGCTGCAAGAGGAAGTTCAAACGAACCTGTTGTAGACAAAGTAGAGCAGAATGATTTTATTTCTTTAAGTAATTATAACAGTGATGAATATGATGCAAGCATTAGGAAAAATACAAGATACATAAACATACATAAAGATAAATATAGAAATAAAAGAGATTACTCCAAAGTAAACAAAACATCTACAAATGTTACATATTTACCATTGAAAGTGAAACGTTTGCAAGGTAATAATAATCGTGTAAAAGCTACCAAAGCATCAGTAAAACAGAAAAAAAGATAATACAGAAATGAGTGTTATGATGATGTACTTTATAAAAATGAATTGTTCGCTTTTTATTTTAAATTACAATAAATATGAAGTGTAAATACAATTGTACAAGATATTAGATTACCATTTAATAAATGCACAGAATTGTAATAAAAGGAGTCCATTTTTTTTATACATATAAATACATTATATACAAAAATTGTTCCTATTTAACTAAATTGTAGTTTTTTTGATACCCTAGAGTTATACTTTTTGTAACAAAAATTTGTTGTATATATTACAAGAAATTTGATTGTATGCTAGAAAAGTCAGTCTTTTGTACATAATGTCATATAATACATTCACCAGTAGGCTGTTTACTAATATATAAAAATTATATATTTTGTATACAAAAATTAAAGATACAATATTCATTTCTTATACATGTATTTGATGCCTAAATAACTACAATATCATACAGGTAACGTAGATTTCACAGAGGATTTAAATATTTTTGTAAAAAACATCAAACCTTTAGTTCCTCCAGGTATATGACTGGCCAAGAAAGACAACATAGCTATTAACTGTAAAACAGCGCATAGCACAGTCAAGGGTGTAGATTGTAAATGCAGGGCAAAATAGAGCGTTCCTATTAGAGTTGCAAAATAGGTCACGCTAAAACACCTTCTTTCAGCAGTGAATAACGATCTCAGGTAACTTAATGGACCCAAGAGGAAGCAAAAACTATAAAAATATATATAACATGGAGCATGATTCTTTCTAACTATCGTTTTTGCAAACTTACCTCGATAAGAAGAAAGCACTGCCCAAAGAATACAGAAGCGCGAACTTCCTTGCTTTGAGTAATAAAACTGGAATATACATTGCCGATAAACAGAAACAAAACACGCCCATGGAAAAGCACAGAACGAATGCTACTAGCCTTTGAATTCTCGTCTGAAAAAAAAAGGAATCCGATAAAACTTTTACCTTCGGTCTTTAGTACCATTTAAAGCAATTTGACGTTTTTGGTTATGTTCAGAAACTACGTACCATACTAGGACAGCATTCTTTTTGTGCACCTTGCATCCATCCTGTCTCTTCCCTGTCGTCGTCGGTGGTTCTTCCAAACCATCTTCCAATCTGTGCTTTCGGTATCGTCACCGAGGGCACCGTGATCTTGAATTGCTTTTCATTTTTACTACTAAGAAGATATTCGTTTAGTTCTTTGTTAAGATCGGCCATTTTGACACATCGACATCTTTTATGTTTAACATTGACGCGAGCCAAGACAAGCAATAATCATTTAGAGGTACATCTATTACTTTGAAGATGTCAGTTTTCGTAAACATATCAATAGCAAATACTATTATATTATTGCAACAAGCAAACAAGCAACCACTCAATATACTAAAAGTAGTTTATTATCAGTGGCGCTATCGGTGGGATAACGCTCAAGTTTGTAATGAAAATAGTTCCTATTGTTGCTACCAGATGTTGCCACGGATATCTTTTAATCAATTACTAATAACTTTTTGTAACTACATAATTTAATACGATTCTTTGCTTTATAACACCACGATATATTACATTACGTGTAAAAATTACCATTTTTATGAATAATTATTCAATGCAGCAGTAATTACCGACCTTTTAGTTAGTTGCGCCATCTAAGAGTATCAGCGGGCAACTATTTTCATTATAAGCTTGGGCGTTTTCCCACCGATGTCGCCACTGATATATAAATCATTCGCCATCTAGTAGCAACAGCAGGAACTATACGTCAACTACAAAGTTTAAATTATACTTCACTCCAAACGACCCCCTTTTTAATGAGGAAAATTTTTGAAAAACATGCCTCACCTTTTGGGGTAAAGACATGGATTTTGTGGGATTCCCTATAGCAGTTATATCCACCTACGTGAGCAAAAAAGGGTTTCTGTGAAGGTCAACGTCCTTTCTCGTCCAGTGCCCCTCGCACACCTGATATTGATCAGAATAATGCAAAACCAACGAGACATCCCCAGAACTGGGAATATGCCCTTCAATCAATTTAAATGGGCGTTATTTAAATAGTTACTGAGCGATAATGACCAAAGGGCACAGTTGAGCACCTGGAAGCCTCAATCTCTAACCATATAGAATGTATGTTTAGTCGATAACACTGGTTGATCGCAAATGATTAGATCGTTCTCGTGGATTTTCAAACTTACATTTATTTAAACAAATCAACATTGACCTCATATTTACGGGTTGTATACTGCATTTTGTTGCACAGGTAATGCATCACTCTATTACGCAAGATCTATGTGTCCTCCAACGCGTGGCATTGTCGTGGGATTATTTGACAAAAATCAAATAGGTCGGGGACGGGGGAGACTGAGTATCGACAGTACTCTAATTAGGACTAGAGAAACTTGACTAGAAAAAATCGGCGGTTGATCTTTCTCGTGTAATAATGGCAATAATAATAATAAACATAATAATAATAAATAGAATTCAATAGCAATGATCACAATAATATTCCCAGCGATGGTAATAATTCTCAGAATCGTAATAAACATGACGATAATAATAATGATAATGACAATGATAATAATAATAGAATAGGAATAATAAGAAGCCCAACGTAACGATAATGAGGGACATACATAACAAATCGATCACATTCGAATACAGTACACACTACGAACCGTCGTGAACAGGTTCATATCGCCACTTCGCTGCATTTTTTTTTTTTTTGTTCATTTAATGATTTTATCACTATATACGTACTGATCACGGTCACTCGATCTCTCGATTACACGATACATGGAATGAGGACTGCTAATTATTCAACACGAAGGCTCCTAAAATCATTCTTGTACCGCGAAACGAATTTTTCCTCGGGATTAGAGTACTTATTAATTATATCGTCAGGTATGTGTGAATGTAACGTATCGTGAACGCGCGCGCGCGCGCGCGTGAGTGTGTATGCAATACACGTATAATTTATATTATATGACTGTGTTCTGTACCACAGCTCCGTGTATGCGTGTGCGCGTGTTGTATATGTTCGTATGCGTATGTAACCCGGGTGTTTTGTGTCGTTAACTATATACTTTGGCTTCGTCTGTTCTCTTAGATTTGTCTTTTCCTTCGTTTTTCCTCTTCGTCATTTTTTTACGCTAATGGCAGCACAGATACAATGTATTTTTTTCTTATTTTTCGTTTTTACACCGTACATTATTGTAAAGTGCCCGTGTTGTCTCCTCTTATAGAAATAACGTGTCGCGAATCACTTTGCTTTCACTTTCTTTCTTACACCCTCGTTTAACGCACATCTAACGGCCTCTCCCTGGGCACGTGAACCATTCGAACCGGTCGCAGAGTTCCGGATGATAATTACACAATTAAATACGTTACACTATGTATATTACTTTATACAATACGCAATGATACGCCGGAATTTAATTATTTTATGTACTACGAAGGAAAGAACCTATATATGTATTTATGTATACATGTGTACGTTCGAGAAGAAACGAATCGCTATGCAGCGCGTTATTATAGATCTTAATACAAGTATCGTGGCTTCGATCTCTTACCTTTTCTCTTTCGGTTCTCTCTCTTTTTTTTTTTATTCTTTTTTTAAGGTACCGTGAGCAGCACAAACGTCGAGCAGTGCTGTTCATCCTTAGCACGAGAATTGTTTAGGATTTCTCATCGAATACAACATGATTTCGATAAAATCCTGGATAAATATTTATTTCATCTTTGGTTAGATGGATCTTTAAAATAATTGAAGATACTCGAAATAAATTCTTTGGTTTCGTATTACTCCTAAGTACCGTTCAAACGTTTTTCCATACACTACTACCTCCCTGGTTTGCATTTGCTGTAAGCTTAGCTTAACAACGTTTTCGGTACATCGCGACACTTAGAGAACACTTAGGAATCCCCCTGTTTAACTCTAGTCTGTGTGGAGCGTGAGAACGTTTACTCTTGGGTAATTTTTTGCGCAAACGTCGTCAGGAGATATACCATGGGCTCCGTATGAACAACACCGCACATGTCCGACACTGCGTACCTGATCGAGAATGCGTTGATTTTCTAAACGCGACGTCATGACGCGTACGGCGTCTGATCTCGAGAAACCTTTCGATCGAGAGAGGATCATTGCTTTACAAGTATCCTGTGCAGCTATAGCGTTCGAACTATACAAACGATAAATGCAACGACAGCCTTTTCTCGGTAAGTACTCGCGAAGTAACCGCAAGTAAATCAACTAATACTAATGTTAGCGTCTATTAAGTAGCGAGACGAAAGTACAAAGTAATTCCTTCGAAACAAGAGAGCTTCCTACGTCTAGATATATACTAAGGTGTACGAGGAAGTGTGTTCGATACATGTATCACGCGTATTTTTGTGTTGCGTGTATGCCCGTGTCCGTGTACCGTATTGTGGTCGTATCTAGAATGAGCGTGCAAAGTCGGTAGAAAATTTTGGAGCCTTCGGGGAGGGGGAAGTAAGTCTGGTACCTTCGAAGCGCTATATTACTCGCTATATAGCGATTTATGCTAGAATTAACCCTAAAAGTCGAACGAAGAAGAAGAAGAAGAAGAAGAAGAAGATCGTGCCGTCTCGTTTCGTTCTCGAGATCAAACGCAGCCTTTGCCAACCGGACGAAAGGATAAACGTATTGCCAGCCACGAGGATGAAACGCCAACTAATTTTCAATACATCGTCGAATGCAACTAACGGCGCGATAATAACTTCAACCTGCCCCCTCCTCTCCCCCCTAACCCCTCCCAATTTTTAATCGGTACACACGCGTGAATCTCATCCGTACGCTATGCAACGGTAAAATCAGGCGGATATTGGATATTTTCAGTTTTCGCTCGGTTTTCCCTTATTTTTCTTTTGTTCGTAAAACGCGCGCACTTCGAAGAAAATATTCGCGAGCTCTTCGAAGTCGCGCGGAACACAACGAGAAAAAAAGGGGAGCTTCCTCGCGTTGTTTGTCTTCTTTAAATTCTATCGTTACCTCGCTCCCTCGGTCCCTTTCTCTCTATCTCACTCTCTCACTTCACGGTTTTTTCTTTAGAAAATAATTTCTATCTGTGAGTTCTTCACTTTGTCGTTCGACTTCTTTCCTTTTTTTGTAATTTTTTTTTCCCTTATTGCTGTCAGCGAGAGCGTCGAGCCGTACGAATAAGAAACGGGGAAACAGGGACCGAACGCTTTCGTCGAGATCCCCTGATTCGACCTCTCGCGGGAACGGAAGCCGCGCTTTCGTTGTCGAGAATCGAGTCAAGAGTACACGTTTGATCGTTCGTTCGTGCGGTCAATTCGAACGGGTGTTCGTCGTGCAACTTTTTATTCCTTCCCGATACAATTCTCTTCGCTTACTACTCCGTTCGAAATAACCGCAACGTCGAATCGCCATCACGGCGTGGGAGTGAGGGCTTCTCAACACGAGAAACCGCGAGACTAAACGAACAACGGAAAAATCGGATCCAAGGTAAACGAGAGGAAGTCCAGAGTTTCTGCGATTCTCGAGAAAATCTCGCGCTTCGAAGCTTCGTTCTTTTTCGTTTCTTACGTTTTGGCAAATTCGAATTACTCGAGATGGTGAATCGACCCGTAATTTGGAATTACAGCTATCGTACCGTTAAATATGAAAAATATGTACAAAATCAGCGACGACGATGCTCGATGCGTATCGCGTTCGCAACGATGCGATCGTCGTTTTGTCCTCTCCAGTCTCGCGTGGATTACATACGCTCTCCTTCTTCGCCAAAGCACTGGTATCGCGCGAGAAGAGTCCCACGAGCGTTCCTTTCCGGAATTTTCCGTTTCAGAGCAGAGTAGTTCATTTCGAAAAAGGGCCTATGGCATTCCTCTCGTGCAAGAGACAGCGACATACGTGGTGCACGCGTTTCGGGGGAGAAGATGGTGGATGTGTGTGGTGTGTTTGTATTTGTATACACGTATGTAGATCGTGGTAAGTTCGAAGCACTGTTAGTCGGTATCGCACGGATTGACCATGACCTGGATGCGTTCGATTAATCGAAATACAAAATAGACTTTCAATCGAGGCTTCCTCCGTCCGGAGAAACGTCCGAATTTCCCCGATAATAATATCAAAAATCTAAAACGATCGAGTATCGCGGCTAGAAGCCGGCAAGAGATCGGCAGGGACACGTGTACAGAGAGCGTGTGTATGCACGTGTGCATATTGGTATGGGTATATGTATACGGTACTCGAAAATCCGACGAGTCGTAAAAATCACCGTTCGACTAGAAACTTAGCAAAGATTCGCGCGCTAGCAACTCAACAGACGAACAGACACGGTCGATCGAAAAGTCGCTAACCGAAACCCGTTTAATCGTTACGTACATGCAGCCGTCGATCAACTTAAATAACGGGCGTTTGTTTCGCTTAACCTTAGTACCCCATCCTTAAATGGCTATTCGATCAGCTATAATGTAATCTTAATTAATATTGCACGCGCCGGCACACGAGGGCTGCTAAACGGTCGTTTACCTAAGACGACGAATAACTGCCCTCTTAATCGCGAAAGAACTTAATTTATGCGTATGCACGAGACTCGCGAACGACCCCGAAGTACGTCGTCGTCCACGCCTTCGCGGATCGCTCCAGCGAACGTCGTCCCGATGAAACAGAAAGGAATCGTAACAAAGGTTTCCTCGACGATTTACCGAACCGAAACTACTTTGGTACCCTATTGCCTCTGAAACTGAGACACGATCGTGTCTTATTTTCCTAGAATTCTCACGGTACTCGAATCGTGTCATTCGTTCCCTCTTCTTTCCAATTCTGATCATCTCTCGTTCGTTCTCTGGTCGGCAACATCCGAACGGTACACTTCCTTTCTTCTGTTCGGTATTTTTCTTTTTGTTTTTTTTCCTTTTTTTTTTAAATATTAACTACGCTTAAGAACTAAGCTCGTATTATTATCGTTAAGTTGGTGTACCTTTAAGTCGAATATTACATTTTTTTCTTTAACGTTATCGGCTATCGTTATCGATTAAACACGCTACGCGAACCATGACGTCGCAAACGTCGGAGCTATACTCTTCGATGCAACGAGTTCACCGTTCAGCCGAATATCGTTCTGTCTCGCTAATGGCGCTCTCGCGGGGCTGCCGTTCTCTTCCGAGTCCCTCCAGCATCGCCAACGCGCACATATATTATTACGCTACGCGAACTCAGTGTAATCAGTCCTCGACCCTACGCCTCGACTTTGTTTCTCTTCCCCTAAAAATGAATCGTTGATCGTTGAAAACCCAATGCGTCTTTCCTTTTACAATGTTCGTGTGTTAGATTTCCGATATAGGCCAACGAAGCGCGTTGATGTATCTTCGTTCACCCGTCCTCGTCGATTGTGTACTCCCCGAGTGACGATCCTCGAGAACGCGACGGAAACTCGCGCCGCGTCCCGTTCGATGGTAACGCCCGGTGCGTGCCCCTTTCTCACCTTGGTCCGTTCTTAGGAATCACGGTCTCTTTGCGATCCGTCAGCGTCTTTTTCCCGTGTGTACGATATAGGAAGGCCGAGTGGCTCGGTGACGAAAATAATTCTCCCGTTTAAATCTCTTTAAAGCATGCCTTCCCCTGTTCTACGCCGGTACAAAATATCTAAGCGAGCTAACTATGACCGCCCCCCCCCCCTGCGCGACGATAATGGGGCGAAGCTAATTATAAAATACCTTCGCTCGATTTTGAGTACCGTCAATCTATCAGCCCCCGCTAAACCGTGGTTACGTACTCGCGCAACTCTGTCGCCTGGACCAAGCTGTCGTTGGCGAACCACGGGTCTTCGTACTTGGGCGCCTCCTCGCTGCGAGCCCTGTGCGGCCCGCGTGGCCGTTCACGGCTACCCATGCGCGGCACCTCCTCGCTCAAGGACCTCTTCGTGATCCCCATGGTCACGGGGACCTCCAACAGAGCCTTCGACCTGATCAACTGCGGCCTCTGACGGGGCTTCGGCTCCTCGCTGGCGGCGCGAACGATCACGGTGGGGGGCGCCAGTCTCTCCTCCCCTTGATGACCAACCTCCGATCTGGCCCTGAATATCTTCTTGGATAAACCACGAGCCTTCGCGATGCTCTTCCTGTGAACCGGTGGCGGTGGCTGCGGCGAGTACTGTTGCTGGGATCGTTGCCTCTTCACGGGAGACGTTGGAACCAGAGGCGACCAAACAGGCGGGGAGAGATCTACGGGAGACTGCACTCTGGGCGGTGTTCTCTCCGGCGACTCATCCTTCCAACCGCCCTGGTAAATCGGAAACGCGGAGACCTGGTTTAAGATTCTCCAACGGAAGTCCTCGTCGTCGTCGGTTCTGCAGGGTGTCGCCTCGGGGGGTGGATGGTGAGTGGGCGTCACGTTGTGGAAAGGCGACCAAGACTTCTTTTCCTCGGGTTCCTGAACCGCAAAGCTGCCGCGGCCGTCGCCAGCGGATGGTGATCCGTCGTACGGGCTCCACTTGATCTCGCTGATGTGCTTCGGCTCCCGTTTCTTCACCCCTATCGTTGGCAAGGGGGAAGCGTCCTCGTAAGGAGCCCATTTAGCGTCCGTGATGGTGATCTCGGGGGATATCAGTCGTCGGACGATTCTGTTCTCCAGCTTGGTGATCTGACGCGGATCGGGTTCCGGTGACATGCTCCTTCGAATGCTGTACTTCGGTCGTTCTTTCAAGCTTTTGCTCTTGAACCCTTCCGTGGAGTCCTGGCTCCTCCATCTCGATTTTTTGTCCTCCACGGGTAGGGAGAAATGAGGCTTCATCGCCCACCTTGGCCGAGGTTTCTTCCCTTCCTCGGGGCTGACCACCTTTTCCTTGGCGCCCCATTTCTTCGACGTTTGACTGTCGACTCTCGCATGAGAACGTTCCAGCTTGGGCCTGACCCTCTCGGTCTTCTGCTGCCTGATGTCCTCGCTGGCGTGCTTCTTCAGTTCTGGTCTTTCCGTTACAGGCGCGGATGATTCTTCGGGTCGTTCCACGTTCAACGACGCGGAGTAGTACAGCTTTCTCTCCGGTTCTTTGATCACTGGTTTCTCCGGTTCCGGTGGTTCTATCGTTTCCAACGGCGGCGGCGGTGTCGGTGGCGGTGGCGATGGCGATGGCGAGGGTGCCAAGGTCTTCGATTTCGGACAAGTGCATCGTGGCTTTGGGTTGGGCAACACTTCCGGCACCTGGAGCCATCTGGCCTCTCTGGCCATTCTGGTATCATCGCTGCTGTGCTTTCTCAGATCGTGCATCGGCGTTTGCAGATAGTCCGGCATCACCGACCACTTGTCCGTCTCCGCACTGTGGTGCTTTCTGAGATCCCCGCGTTGGACGTCGTGAGATTTCTTCTCTTCGGGCGTTAAGCTGTGGCAGCTGCATTTCGTTCTCTTCGCCAGGTCCAGATCGGTGTTGGACGTGTGCAGAGCCCACCGGAACTCTGTTCCCTCGCTGGTGCGTCTCTTCAGATCCCATATCGCGTCGTCCGGCGACAGAAAACTCCCGTCTGCCCATCTAGTCTCGGTGCTTCGATACTTTCGCAGATCCCCGCGTTCCCTGGTAACAGTAGTGGCGTCCGTCGTGTCGCAGCTGCACGTTCTCTGAGACGTGGGCGTTCTCTGACCCTCCAACGGTGCTGGGTCGATGGAGTCCAGATCTTCGATCGCGAGTAAGATCTCCTCGCGACGCTTTTGTCCGCAGGACGGGCATCGTCCGCTCGGCTCCCCGTCGTCGCGGCTAGATCGGTGATGGTGACGATGATGATGGTGATGGTGATGCTGATGAGGCTGTCGTTGCAACGTCGAGGTTGAGGTCGATGCAGAGAGGTCAAGCTGCGAGGGCAGCCCCTCGTCGTCGCGACGGCCGTCGTCAGAGTGTCGTGACGTCGCAGCCGTGCCTGGCGATGCGCACCAGCAGGTGTGTGTAGCTCCGTCAAGCCGCCTTGGTGGGTACCGCGACTCCGGAGACGACGAGGCTCCTCTCGAGGCCGGTACCAGGCAGACTACCTCGATCCCCAGCTCCGCAGGCCTGTCGTCCAATGGTATTTACGTTCATTTATGTGTTAAACTATTCGAGACAACTAGAGTGTAACGTAATGTTTCGTAATGCGTCTTAGCTAATCAACAATGTGTCGAGCTAATAGAATAGACAAGGGTTCTGGATATCAATGCGTGTACCTTCAGCTCGGTGAAGATCTCCGTGAAAAATCCTGGCTCGCTGTTGATTCTCAGCATCTCGGAGCTCAGTCGATTGACGATCAGCAAGCACCTATCCCAGAACTTGTCTTTGCTGTCCTCAATGAGGAACGGTTTCAGGGGGTAGCTGATTTCGTTACCCATGTAACTGTAGCTCAAGTAGAGGCACGTCAACACCGTCGCCTGAAGTTCCCTCTCGGAGGCCTCGTCTCCGTCCACCAGCTCTCTCACCAGCATATAAACGAACACAACGTTGGCGGGATTGATGAAGGCGACATCCTGCGAAGGAAACGACGAACGTTAGAACAACCTTCGGTTATCAATTTCTACTCGAAACGAACACGAAACTTATACAGAATTGATCGATTTACGGGGATTGCACATCTGTAATGAAATCTGTAAATATCTAAGCTTAAATAAAATATTCTCTTCCATTAGTTTTATTCAAATATTTTCCTATTTCATTTTCAGTCGTGTCTGACACGTGTATCGTTCAATTTTTCATCGACGTGTGAATATCTAATCTCAAATAAAATATTTTCTTCGATTAATTATCCTATTTCACTTTAATTCGTGTCTAAGACGTATATCGTTCGATTTTTCATCGACGTGTCGACTGTTCCGTCAAATCTCTGTCTAATCTCAATATTCATAGGTAACGATTACATAGGTAAGACACCTAGCCATCTTAACGTTAGCAGGTAGATGTTATCCATTAAGCAGCATGGAATTTGAAATCCAACTCCTGCGAGAACAGGGCCAGACAGAAATTTCATGTACCCCAACCGCAAGAGCCGACCATGTATTACAGTATTCATCATCGAGTGCAAGCGAGCATCCCCTGTGTATACAGGCGAGACGAAGTGCTTCTTCTTATTTAGCAGCATGTAGACGACATTCATCGATGAGCAGAGAGGATGACTCACGTGCGGTGTCGAGTTACGTGCCACGCTTGCAAAATAGTAATCGGCGTTGTCGCATTCGACGGTGACTGCGGTCGATACTTCGATTGTGACTCTTCCTTTCATTGCAGCCCCTGACGAACGACGTTGCCCGTCTTCGTCGGCGCCCTGCGCTTGAATTTGTCGAGTAGAGAAGTTTTATGCGCGAGTTATATGCGATCTCAGACGCGATTATAGGGGCGAGTTTCGAAGGCACGTATTCTTTTATTATAGGGCAAGGTTTCTCGAAATTCTCATCTTGGTTTGGATAGCGAGACATTGGATTCGTGAGGGATGCGGGATGAATCGAATGATACAGTTCCATCCAAGGTACGTGGAACTAAATGCAGCAGATTTAACACGTTCGGTTACATTGAAATCAGCTACAGAAATTAGTTTGTGACGCATTTTGTAAGGTGAAATGCAATACACATCGACGAGTATTCTGAGAATACTATTCTCCGTGATAAAATATTTGTATAAACATGCTCGAGCACCAGATACGAAACCCTTACGAATACCGAATTACCTTCGAGCACCCGCAAGATTTCGCTGCATATTTAACGCGCGAGATCGTGAAAGGAGCTGTTTCATCGCGCCCACTTCCGACATCCGTCCTTTATCGACGGCTTCGCTCGCGTCCGGTCTCCTTGCTCCAGAAACGGAGTCCTCCGAGTCATTAGCGAATTAGGACACGGCACCTAGGTCGATCTAGCTCGAGAGAGCCTAGAGGCAAAGTGCATTGGCTTGTCGAGTACACCTAGATAGTCTAGATACATGCAGCTTGTCTAGCAACTTTAACGGCAGCGCGAAACCGTCGCTGCTGGCCATGTGGGCGCATCCATTATTGTGGCTGCGTTTAATGTACTCATCTTCCGTATACACCTAAGTAGAGATGTTCTATAGATCATTTGTAACTATTTATATTATATTCGTGATGGAACAAATGACTAGTCTTAAAAGACACACTTTTCAATCAAATTCAAAAATATTTTACGTGGAACTCAATTGAATAATGCACGAAACAATTGAATATAATTCATACATAGCTGTATAAGAATAACATACAAACATTTGAAAACCAAGAATACACCAAGATCCAATTAATTTTGAAATAATACAAAATTCATGTTACATAAAAGTTACATAATAAACGAATGCACCCGTTTCAATATATCTGAAAAAATAAAATATTCAGAGAGCGGTGTTCCTCTGGCCTGTAAAGTGGAAAGGGCAGTCAAGGGTTAATTCGACGTAGGTATGACGTACGTTTCAGATTCAAAGCGAAAAAAGTCTTTGACTCCTCGAAAGGTCTTGCTCCCGAATCGTCCTCCAATTACATCGAACGCTTTGTGATAATTAAAAAGCACGGTGCCCCGATCACAGGCCGGTTTTTCTCCAACCGCGGAGGGTTGATCCGCACGGAGATGGTTTCTCGCACAGTGGGTGCATTAATGGCGGTGACCCCGCGGTGACCTGGGAAAGGATCGATGCTCCGGATGCGTTTTCTCCCTTGCCAGGAATTTTACTAGCCGTGTTGCTGGTCGTTCCACCATCGTCGCGTACGCGTCCTCCCTCGTTAGCTACGTTTTTTTAACGCGCATTACGCGGCGTAAAGCGTTCTCACGGCTGAACGCGCCTCCATGCGGCCAGGAATATCTAGGGACGTCGACACTTGGAGGTGCTGACGTTAGAGTTGATAAAAAGGCACTCGTTAGACCTGGTATGATGCGGAGCGCGGGACGAAGGGGCAATCGAGTGGAAGTTTCAGCGAGTGGACGTATGAATCGTAGATTGCTGCGAGGAGCGAAGATGTTAGCGACAGGCGCGCTGAAATACTTCCTTTTAGCGTGTTTCGCTTTTACTTCAACCTCTTGCTATTGCAGGTATACTCGTATTGCTCCCTGACTTTACTGTCTCGAGGCAATAAATATTTCCAACCAAGTAAAATATGTCTGAACGCATCAGAACATATAATTTATTTAACATGTTATGTTTCGTCAATATCTTTATTAATTTGAGGAATTCTTTTCTGTTGTTAAGGATTGTCTGGATACTATTTGAAAGCTTAATCTGTATTCGATCGTGTTGTATTCTTTGACATTCTTCGATTAAATGTTTCACTGTAAGGCTTGTGATTTATTTATTTTGTAGCAATGAGTCAGATTTGTGTGACCAATTCACAATCTTGATGGTGTCAAGACGTATGAACTTGTTAAATTTCCCGGTCTTCGTTTATCTCTACTTTAATTATTCAATCTCAACCAAGTCGTTGCCCTCTCTCCCACGTTGATGCAACGAGAGACAAGGCACAGTGTCAATGACACTTGCAATTAACCCTGTTGCGCGAGCGTTCTCTTGCAACACTGTTACCTTTCTTGCTTCCTAATTACGGTCCTACTCCAACCTTACGCATTGTGTAGCTCGCGACTGTCGACCCTCTGCTTTCAAATCCTCCAGTCTTAACGTTACTTTCCATCCTGCGTCCCGCTGTCGACGTTGAATTTTCCTTGCAAATTCGACTGTCTCCCGCATTCCTTCTTTGTCCTCGGGGCCAACGTCAGCAGCGGTACATTAGGAAGGATCAAAAATAAGTTCCGGCGACTTGCAGCTTACAAAAGCCAACGAAAGAAACTCTAGTGGAAAGTAACCCGCTGAGAGGAGTAAAAGGAGCTTCCCAGTTGCAGTAGAAAGGTGTTCTGGTAGTGAGCAACATCGAAAAGGGAGGAAAAAAGAGGGCGGGTTACGAAACGTCGATCGTATTATTAGCTCGTCTATTCCTGTTTTTCAGGACAGATAATAGCTTTCGATGTTAATTGCGCGCCCGGACGTGCTTTATTGTCGTGCAACAGGGAAAACTGTCGCAAAGGAACGGCGTTTATTTATACAATATAAAGTCCTCGTTGAGGCATGCGACGATACGTCGAGCTTCCACGTGTCTTGGCTGGCTCACAGAGCCAGTTCGTAGCGCGACGCTTGGCGAGGCCTTCGAGGGTTGAAAAACGAGCGATAGAGAACCACCCCGATAGAGAACGTCGAGCCGTGTATATTCGTCCGGTCGATATCTACCAGGGGTGAGCGGCCTGCACCCTTACCGAGCTTTGTAGCCGCGTTTTTCTGCGGCTTATCGAAGATTCAACGTTTCTAATTAAATTCTCGAGACTCTGGCTCGACGGAATGGACGCGGCAGCCTCTGATTCGGCCGCGCAGGACCACGGAAGTAGACGCTTTTAGCTCCAATCAGTGCCTGGACGAAAGTGCCTCTTTGATGTTTCGCCATATCGCAGGAACCTCTTTCGCACCTCCGCGTTTAATTAAATGAACATTGATCCGTCGCACTGTTTTCTAGGGACTCTATTGTAGGCTCGAACCGTATCAACATCCTCACGTGTCGGCAGAAACTTCAACTGTGTGTGTTTGTAAACATCGTTGATTTGTGCGTGCACGACAAACTTCAAGTATTACTTTCTCGAACTATTACAGGGCTTAATTGGTGCACGATTAATTATTTACAGGAAATGTTTTCAAGGGGTTGGCATAGATTTTGGTGAAACTACGTTTGTAGTTGCAGAAGGGGAAATTATGAAGATATGCACGTTTATAGGAGACCACTCAATAATTTATACTTACAGTAAAATAACGAAGGGTACATCATCGTAACGAAACCTATCAATGTTTGCTCAGTGTTACCATACTCGTGTTAAATTCGTTCGAGAATTTTTCAGCAATGCTTTTATCATTATTACCCAACAAGTATTACCCAACAAAAAATTTATTTTATTTTTTGTTCTTCAACTTCCCCATTACGAGGAAAATCCATCGTTTCCTCGCACAGCGTATGAAAAGATAAATCCGAGGATGAGCGATCACGTGTTCGGTGCAACCGTACGCGATCATCTGTCACGAATCCGCGGAATTTGGAATCGCGTTAACTGGCTTCGTTATTGGCAAGAACAAGTGAACCTATCTTGCACGTGTTCTTCCTCCCTTCCTGCCCGCGCGATGCACACGGGAAACGATTCCAGCTGCGTATGGTTTCTCTTTAACGGGATTCGCCGCAATGACGTTCAAGCTTGTTCTATTTACCGTCTAGACGAAGTGGATTAGCGTTCTCGGTTAAACGGTCTCTACGTGTTGCTCCTGGCTCGACACTTGAGGAACGTTAAATCCGCTTCCGAACACGCGTCGGCCTTCGAACGCAACCCTTACGCGATGGATCGCGTATTGCGTCGAATATGACATTGAAATGGACGAACGTGGAAAGGTATTTCCTTCTACAGAAAGAGAAAAAGAGAGCTACTGGGTGAACTCTGGTAATCAGGTCACCGTGGAAAGTTG